CAATAGTAAATATTTACATTATTTAATATTTAGTATGTAAGAAATATAACTCAATTAAGAAATTAATAGGTAATCTGGATATAAAATAATGAGGGGTTTCTAAAAAAATTACATGGAATAAAAAGCCATGCGTTTAATGTATTTTTAATAGCAAAATTGTAAAGATAATTAATTCATAACAAAAGATACTAATATAAAAATTTAATGTTTAAGAATGAATACAATAAAAAAAAACAACAACCGTAAGGTATTCCACTGAAAATTTCAACGGATATTTCATTGGTATAACTTTAATTGAAAAATTTCATTGGCTATTCCAACAGAGATAATATTAAATTACATTAGAATTTAACTGATTTAATTATTTCAATTACAATTATTTATTGTTGAATTTTTCATTGGAATCTTTCTTGAATAATATTTCAACCGTTGAAAAACATAGAGCCATTGGAATTGTAAAAAAATTAAAGGAAGTTTCATTGGAAAGCTAATTGCAGTGGCAGATCCAAAATAATTTCTTACAAGGGGCACTATACCATCAAAATAACATAATGCTTTTATAATTTATAAAATTATAATTTTTATAATATGTCATTTCTCACATGTGATACATTTATAATACATGAATACATTCACGACAAGTTAAAACAAATTAACATAAGAAAAAAATAATTTTTCTTCCACATAATAAAATCATTGAAAATAATATTTTTAAAATTTTTATGAGCAAAATATTTATGTTGTGTTATAGTTGACTCGACAATATAATTAATAAAATATAACCTGTAATTCTACATACATTAGTTAAAAAATACATGAAAAAAGTTAGAGAAAAAAATATGTTGCAAAAGAGAGAATAGAAGCTATCATAAAGATTAAAAAAATAAAATTAAAAGGGTGAAAATATAATTTCTAGATTTATCCTATTTTCTTTAGTTTTTTTTTTTTATTATATACATTATGCTATATGTTTTGGGAAGTGGCCATGTGTCGACCGTGTTAAAGAAAATGGATCTGCCCATGATTCCAACAAAATATTTTTGTTATATTTTTCATTGAAATAATTCAAATGAAAGGAATAACATTTACATATTCGTTAGAACTATCGTTGAAATTCGATTGTAATACATTTTTGTTGAAATTGTCGTTGGAATTTCATCATTTTTTTTTGTAGCAAAGGTACTTCTCCATTTGCGTTATATATACTATTGTGCGCAATTTTTTTTTTTCAAGTGTGCAATTAATTATTATGAAAATTGTTGATAATGATTGAATATATAACACATGAAATGTAATTATAATTTACTTTATTATAATTAGTACTTTTTTTTCAAAACAAACAAGATACATCTAGGTTAAATGTTCTTACCTATTTTATTAGTATTATAATAACTAAAACAAGAGTTAAGAATGATGTTCTATGTAATAGAAAATTAAACTTTACAATGCTCAAGCTTATTGTTCGCATTCAATCCAAATGTAAAAAAAGTGATAAAATTCGTTAATGTCATCTATCAATTGGAGTTGATTAATGAGAAATATAAAACACACCTAAGATGCACATTTATTTGAACTAGAACTTTTAAGTACACAATTATTTTTTCATTCAAAATAGGGATATTAGTATTAGTTTTGTAATTAATATTTCATTACTATCTAACATTAAATTTTTCATTTTCGAAATACTTAATATTTTTTTATTTGTTATCCTTTTATATGTAATATATCACACCATTTCTTTCCAATGATGTTTGATTTGACAGTCTATTGTAAATAAAATAAAAATATTATAATTATTTCTGACGATATAGAATAATATATATATACATATATATATATATATATATATATCAATACCAATTTAAAATAATAAATAGATCTAAAAGCATCTCATAAAATAGATTATAAATCCATGTTAAATAAATATTATTAAGTATAAAATAACATAAGATAAACGTGTGGTATATTTTTCTTACATAGATTTGAAATGTTTATACTACGAAAAAAAGAAAAAAATAAATGTAAACTTACAACTATTGTCAATTTTAATTATGTGAATTAAAAAGAGAAATAAATGAGTAGTATGCTAAACTATTATTCAATACTTTTTGAAAGAGAACACCATAATCGTTGCAATATATACTTTCAATGAATATAATATGAAAATGAGTTAGTTACATAATGTTTCATCAAACATTGAAAACAAAAAATGTAAACTTTTTAATCTTATAAACAATATAAAAGTATAATTTTATAAAATATATATTATTATAAATAAATAAATAAGTAATATTAAATTATATTTTATCGTATGTGATTATAGTTGTAGCCTAATAAATAAGATACTTTGATAACAACATAATTATATAAAATGCGTAAAAAAATTAAACAATACATATAAATATGCCAAAATTCTTTTAACAAATAAAATATTATTTGTGAATACAATAAGAAACAAATAAAACACATAGTAAGGGAATGAGGAAAAAGAAGTCTGATTTTTTTTAGAGAAATATGAATATCAACATCTATAAACAAAAGTCTTTTCTAATTACTACATTTTTTATTACTGGCATTTACATTCTCATAAATATTGATCCTATATTATAAATTTTGAATTTTTAAGTAATTAAAAAAATAAAAAACTTTGTAATACATAATGTATATTTGTATAATGACTTTATGATAATAAAGTTCACAGATGGTGAAGAATATTATAATATAATAGATTTTAATTTTTCTCCTCTCTAAGATTTTAACAAAAGGATATGTTTCTCAATATTATCTCATTGTTTTTTTTTTTCGTTGTTAAAGAATCAAGAAAAGATATTTATCATAAATTTTCGAAACATTATGATTGATGCAAAAATTTGGACAATAAATGTGTCATAAATCATTGGAACAACCAAGATGCTCAATGATTTGCAAACAACATATTACATAGTTCGTCTATCTTTTAAATAAATAACATTGAAAAGGAAATGCCGGGGCATGATCAAAATATTATTGAATTTTTAAATAAAGTTATCATATTTTGATAGAAATATTTACAATTCCCATTGGTGTATTGTGCTCGAATATATGTGAAATTACTCTAGAGTATATACTTTCATGGAATGTATGATGATTTCAAAAAATAATTTAGTTTTCATGTAATGTGTGATGATTTAAAAAAATAATTTAGCGTCTCGGGAGAAGTATATATAACCAAGATTTTGAAAGGTCAACTTTTATTTGGAAATGAAACTCATTCTCACCTTGTGGGGCGATGCCTCCATGTGGGAGGTGTCAATTTGTCTATATGGAGAGAGAATAATGAAGTAGTTTAAGAAAAAAATATCAATAATTTTAATGACACGGTTGATTATTTCATTGAGATATTCATTAATTGCTATTAATAATACCTTATAAAGATCATAACCATAGAGTTTGACTATTGACTATATATTTAGAGAAAATATTTTGCATTGTTTGAATAAAGTAGACTTTTTGTCTAATGAATTAAGAAGAATTTGTCTATTGATGTATAGAACTCGAATGGGTACATATGGTTTTTTATGAGAACGTCTCAAAACTAAAATGAAAAAAAATCACTCTTGAATCGTCAAACATTAATAAATAAAATAACTAATGCATTTATATTATAAATTATGTCTTTATTTTGTTATTTAGTGTCTTTTTAAAAAAAATTATTGACTCATTTTGTATATATTTTTGTTGGGGTTATAATATGTTATTTTATTATGTTTACATTAGTACATCGTTATGTTATTTTGAAAAAACAAATACATTAGGACCTCATTTGTTCTACATTTTATTTTGTTCTTGCAATGATATGTTTAATAAATTAATTAATTTATTTTACTAAACTTAATCAGCAAAAAACATTCGTCGCCACGAGCGATGCACGTGCACTTTACTAGTACTTTCAAAAGCATGAGGGAAAAAAATTGAAATTCAGGCTTTGGGACCAGTCTAATAGAAATGGAATTTGAATATCCTCTTACTCCTATTCGAAATCATTACAGTGAGCCATGGCGTAGGCCCGATGATGTATGTTGCCATTTTCATTGGCAACCGCTAGTACAGAATAAGCTGGTGCTAACTTATTGGAGCTCATAAGCTCTTATAGAGTATGTTTATACATCCATCTACTACCCTCATCTGAAAAATATTGAGCAACAAAGTTGCAAACTTAAGTCATCTCCAGCTCTTATCTCTACTCTAGCGCGGACTTTACTCTACTCTAGAGTAGAGTTGAACATTCATCTACAGCCCTTATCTCTATATTTTACTCTACATCAAATATATTATTTTTTTAGTCATTTTTTATTTCAAATAAATTAGTATATATATATATATTTAATCTTATATAAATTGTTAATTACTCAAATAATAAAAATATTTTATATTTATTTTTATTTCAAATAAATTGGTATATCTGTATATTTTTTATTTGTGTATTTTAAGTCATTTTTAGTCATGTTGTTTTTATTTTTGTTCTATGATTTATGGGTATTGTAAACTTTTAATTTTAATGAAATAAACTTGTTTGAATGTGTTAAATTTTTACTCATATAGTATCATTTTAATAATAAAAAATTACAAAATAAAATTATAATACATCAATAAATACAAAACAAAAAATTATTTAGCATAAAAAATACATTGTACAAATCTATTAATATATAAAGAGGGAATGATAGTTGTTTGAAAAATCAAGTAGAAAATCAGCAAAAAAAGATTTCAATTCCCGCCTAAACTTTCAGAATTATTACTTATTGTAAATATTTTGGCAAAAATTGAAATATCCCGCCTCTACCAAATCAGTTTGAATTTTTCAGAAATTTAAAAAATAAGATCTTCCTAAAAAGTGGGATAATGCTATGAGATTAGTTCCGTGAATATTTCTTACAAAACCGAAAGCCAAACTCCAAATTCACAAGATCTCATATTCTCATTCCCCTCTCACTTCACCTCCGTCAAAATTCTCTCCGCCAATGGCCTCCGCGCTGCAGCTGCTCCTCCAAATTCCAAACCCTTCGCATCAGATCGGTCCCCAGATCTTATATACTCCCGAAAAGTAGCGTGACACTTTATATAGTCATCGGATTTCGCATACCCACCAATAAAATGAATTTTTCCGTTCAATTCCATTAAATACTGCAGAGGCGCTTTCCAAATCTTTGTTCGATGTGTACGAGCGAAGGAATTTGGTGACCACGAAAAGCTCTCGAATTTCTCCATCTCTTTCATCGCCCTCCAAGGAATTGATGGCCTACATACAAAAATTCTGAATTACATAACTATTGAGATCTCAGTAAGAGAGCTAGCGCCAGATCGAGTCAGCCAAATTACTGGAGAGTGCCTCAAGGACAAGTTGAAGAGCCGTGAGCTCCGGCGGTGGCAGGAAGAGGTGAAGAGGATCATAAAATCGGTTCTGCCGGCCAGCTCTCATGCCGTTGAAGGGGAGGAATTTGAGGGAGTAAGGTGAAAGAGGGTTGATGGGAATAAATAGAATTTGTATTGAAAAAAGAATGCGACATGGGAAAGAGTTTTGATCAGATGAGACCATAATCAGACAAAAAAATAGCAGTAGTTTTTTTCTTGCTGTGGTGCATATGTTTTTTATTTTTATTTTTTACTTTGAGGAAGTGAGTTTACCGTTCCGAGGACACTATCGAACGAATATTATATATATATATATATATATATATATATAGGTAAGGGATCATATGAGAATAAATGTTGGTGAAAGAAATAAGAACTAATATGCATCGTTGGATCTGTCAAATTAAGGGCCGAGATTAATTGATTCCCGCATCTGCCACAAGTGGGACGCAGTGGCACAACCGTAAATAAAGCTCAATTACAAGGTGAAATATATGATGCTGAGGACAATGGTGTAATTTTAACATTCAATAAAGTGAGTGAGGCCCACCCATAATTATTGCAAACCAACCTCCTCTCTCCTCTCTTCTCTCACCTCCACTCTCTCTCTCCTTCCCTCCCTCCCCGACTCCCCCTCCGGCAGCCCATCTCAGTCCGGCCACCGTTTGCAGATTCCGGTACACCATCTGCAGCCATCGCTCGTTCGCTGCCACACGCCGCCGAGTCCTCCGCCCTCTGCCGCCCGCCGTCGATTGCCGCATTAATTTCTCCGCTCGCTGCGAACCCCGCCGTCGACTGCCGCATCCATTTCTCCGCCCGCCGTCGATTGCCGCGTCCATTTCTCCGCCCACAGTCCACCGTCGATCGTCGTCCAATCCATGATCCAGACGACACCTCAACTAACGCATCCCCCATCCGGTCAAGTCCGACGGTGGCCTTCACGGCAAGAGCAACCAAGTCGTCGGCGCGCGGAGAATATGTTGATTCGAGATGGCTCGATCTCGTCGCCGATATGAGAGGCAAGGTCAGCGGCGGCGGACGGAAGAGATGGCTGGAATTGAGTGATGGAGACTTTCTTTCAGATTTTGTTTGCTCAATTTTGTAAATTAATGAACAAGGATTTGATTTTGTAAATTTGATAACCTTTAGGGACTTAATTACAAGTTTTGTAGTTTTAATAAATTACAATTGAATTCTTGGGTGAATTTGTAATTAATCAAACTATGAAATAATATTTTAACATATCATTTAATATTTTATATTTTTTATAGTTTTTATTGAAATAAATATAAATAAAAAAATGAATAATAATAAAAAATAACAGTATATTTTATGTAGTCGACCATTCGGTTATTTCGATTATCTAAATAACTAAAAAAATATAAAAATTAATATTTTTAATATAGATTATTTTTTTTGGTTATTTGAATAAAAAAATAAAATCATGTCGAAATAATCGATATATAATAATAATAATAATAATAATAATAATAATAATAATAATAATAATAATAATAATAATAGCAATAATAATAATAATCGAACAAAGATATTAAATTTCGTACTAAATTTTTGTTCGTTTGATCTCGTTCGATTTTGTGTAATCTGGTAGACATTTATGTGCAATCCGCATAACCCTAATGTGCACTCGCAATACTTAAAATTACAGATAAAAAAATATTATTGATTTTCATAAAAAAATATAAATAAATAAAAAATAAGTATTTTTTTTATATAATTCGACATATTCGGTTATTTTGTTTATTTTAAAAAAATTAATCCGACCTTTAACCAACTAATATTATTCAATAGATTAACATAATTATTATAATTTTGGTTGTATTTTTGGTAGTTATACATGTTATTTTACAAGGTGCAACATAATATGTTATAAGATGCAATGTTGCATTATATAAAGTGCAACGTATGGATACATGAAGTGCAATACTGAAATTTTAATACGTTAGCATACTTCTGATTTTTATTAGTGTGTTATAAGGTGCAATGTAGCATTATATAAAGTGCAACGTATGGATACATAAAGTGCAATACTGAAATTTTAATACGTTAGCATTCTTGTAATTTTTTATTTTTTTACTTTTTTGTGGATAGATAATGTGATGGATATTAAAGTATTATGTAGATCCGTTTTATAGATTTATATTGCATAATCTTCTGTTGATAGCTGTTGACACTAATTAATTACGGAGTGATAATAAAGTGCAACCTATTGTTTTATGAGGTGCAACGTGATGTTTTATAAAGTGCAACCTATTGTTTTATGAGGTGCAACGTGATGTTTTATAAAGTGCAACCGTTTGCTATATAAAGTGCAATAATTTACACCTTTTTTATATAAATTATATGTGTATTCGAAAACTTGTTTTAATATATAATTGTACATCAAATTAAGTTAAGTAATTAAAATATTTTTTTATTTATTATTTTTGTCATATAATTTATTTACTATTATAAATTATTTTTACATTATTTTAATATTTTTATATTACTTTATTTGATATTTTATTTATTATTTATTATATGCATAACAATATGCATAAGAAATATTTTTTTTATTAACTTTCAATAATTACAAATTCCCATGAGTTAAATTGAAATAACAAATAAAATTATTAAATTGCAAATAGACCCATATACATAATCTAATTCTCAAAAATGTGGCCCAACTCTACAGTCCATTTTCATCTGTTTTTTCGGCAACCGAGCTTCAGTCAATGACATGACGGATCATCCGATGACGCAGAGGCGACGTGTGGCCGCTCGTGACGGCCTCACCGGCGAGCTTTGACGGCAACACTGTTGTTTTCAGGCGGAGAGGATGTCAGACATCGTGACTTTAACGGAGGAGAACTGGCGCTCCACCATGTCCGGAGCGCGGCTGTACCTGGGCTACGTGCAACAACGAGAATCGTGGCGACGATGCCGGCTATGGTCGGGCGGCGATTCCGGCGAGATTCAGGCGACTGTGAGGTGCGCCAGCAAGAGTCGGGGCGGCGATGGATCCACGACGGAGCTGCGGCGGTGAGCGGCGACACTGTGAGCGATGGTCGAAGGTCCGTCTGAGATCTCAGATCTGTGTGCTTGCGACATTTATTTGTGTGTGTGTGTGTGAGTGAGAGAGAGAGAGAGAGAGAGAGAGAGAGGGAAGAGTGGAGAGAGAGACGTGAAAATGGGGTGGGAAGTGTTTTGTTTAATTTCTAGTGGGACCCACAGTATATTAATTGTTTGTGTATGTTGTAATTACCACATTACCCTTAATGAGTGTAAAAATTAGCATTTTATTGAGCCATTGGATCATATGATCTAATGGTTACGATTTATTCTTATTTCTTTCACTGAGCACCATTCTCACCGGAGCGCGACCCTATATATATATATATATATATATATATATATATATATATTGTGTGTGTTCTTTTGTGAAAGATGGCCGTGATTTGTTTTACACCAAATTTGTATATAGTGTGGTACACTGCTCAGTTTGGAGTGGAAAATCATAAAATTTTTAATTATGAGCTGTATTTATAAAATGCTACATATGGAGAATCAATCTTTGTCACTTATTGTTTTTATTTCTTTTATTTTTTGGTTTTACAACTCAATTATTTTTGCACTTTATAGCAATTTACACAATTGTTATTATTAACAAATAATTAAAAAAATGTTGGTGACACACGAATAGAATTTAGAGTTATTCTTGGTAAATATAATTGATAGTTATAATGTAGTTGATAGCTTTAGTGGATTTCAACTTTATAGTTGATTATATCATATAATTGAAAGTCGAAACACTACACTAGCTGATATAATAAAAATGATTGTCAAATTAGTTGATAAATCAATTATAAAATAAAATCTTCATTGAAATTTATTGAAAAGTTTAGAAGTTTATGAGATAAGTCTTTCAAAAAAAAATATATATTTGGTCAAATCGAGGTTATCTTAAAACTAGCGCATAACTCGTGCGATGCACAGAGAAACAATATTAATTATAATATTAAATGGAATATACGTTAACACATAACACGTAGAGAATTATAATAAAACACAGCCACATGTATATTATTTGAAAATAAAATTGAAAACACAACCATTTGCTTTTGAAAAACTACATTGTCAAAATAATATGAATAAATATTTTGATATAATGTGTGTTTCGATGTTTTTTTTTAATAGAAAAAGCTCTGGTCAATTTTGGTTGAGAAATGTTATAGGTACATAATATTATACATAGGGGTGTACATAACACTCACATTGAGTATGACCGACCAAAAATAAAAAATCAAGTGGACCCCACTCCATTTATGTACACATCTATGTACATTTATTATGTACTTTTAGCATTTTTTATTTTTATTTTTATAATCAGTGGGTCTTGATTTAGTTCATCTTTTGTTATGATATTTTAGTTAATTTATTGTGTGAAATGAACTATTCAATTTTTTTTAGCATGATAAAAAGTGTCTCAATTTTTTACGTATAAAATATTTGAACTATAGTATGACGGATCATTTTAGAATAAATGCGTGTCTCTATTTTTTCTTTTGTACGCTTTGGATTTGATATTTTTTTATGAGAAATCAAAAAAATAATATGATCGATATTTGTTGGCATAAATGATTAGAGTGGAAGTCAAAATTCCAATGAGATATTATAAAAATGGCATTGTATAGCGTGTTTATCATTATTTAAGAAAAAACTTTCACAATTTCATTTCACCATGGCCAAATTGATGAAACAAAAATAATAAATTAAATGTACGAGATCTACATAAAAAAATTGATATTGTCGATTTGATTCAATGTACTCGATATAATCAAATTATTAATTTATTAGCAATTAACCAAAATATAATTACAAAAAAAATCTCAAAATCAAATATTACATAACCACATTGCAAATCACCAATTTATTAATTTTCAATATACAAATAAACAAACATGGTAAAATATAATAGGATCAGATTAACAAAAAAAAACGTGTGAGTTACATAGAATAAATATTTGTAATTACAAAATATAAGAAGTGTTATTTGCACAAGTTTAAAAATTGACATGAATCATATGCAATTTATTGTGTTTGTTAAAACCTTTTCATATCAAATATTTATGAAATTGATCTATACTTTGTTCTTCATCCCTTATAAATTCAGTGTAAATCGATGTTGTCTACTCATCCTGCTTTCGATTTAATTTTTTATTAAACAATACACGATTTATACTTATTTAATTCAATTCAACATGAGGTACGAATTCGGTCTGACCAAGGATGTCACTAGAACTAAAGAGCTACATATGATGTTGTGTACGATTCGAATAATCGAACAAAAAAATGAGGCTAAATACAATAATTACTTGAAAATCCTATTTCACGATGAGGACTTCCGACATATCCTCCCGATTATTTCAAACGGGAGATGTCAGGATACTATGAATGCTGCAATTAATTATTATGATGTACGGGCTAATACTGTACTGAGACTTACAAAATATATGGGCGTTTAGAGCATTGGCGATTCGGATAAATGCAAGGAGCTGACAACTTTTGCTACTCAAACAGCAAGGATCGAAGATGGAATTATTGGGAGATCCGATGATGGATTTCACTTGATAGATATGCCTGATGATATATTGTTGAAGCCTACTAATGATCTAATATGTGCAATTGTTGAGAGTACATATCCAATATTTAAAGATATAAGCGATGTTCCCAGTTATTTGAAGGATAGAGCTATATTAGCTTCAACGTTGGAGGTAGTTGAGTCTATGAATGACTACATGACGTCTTTGGGGAGACACGATGTCTGAATGAATAAAAAAAAAAAAAAAAAAAAANAAAAAAAAAAAAAAAAAAAAGCTCTTGCAGAGATTGAGACATTATTGAGACATCGTGGCACAAGCCTTCGGGACAATTCTACTATGCCTTTTCCAGATATGAGTAGTATTAATTCAAGTGCGAACCGTCTGGTTATGGATGAACTTAACTATGACCATAAGGCTCTAGCTAATGAGCATGATGAATTGCTGACACATATGACCGATGAACAGAAGGGTGTTTATTCCAGAATAATGACATATGTTGATTCCGGTAGGGGCGGCGTGTTTTTTGTTTATGGTTATGGTGGAACTGGCAAGACATACTTGTGGAGGACTTTACCTGCTGGGCTAAGATCGCGCGGTCGAATTGTTCTTTGTGTTGCATCAAGTGGAAGAGCACCTCTCCTGTTTCCGGGCGGTCGAACTGCACATTCTCGATTTGGCATTCCTCTTTCTGTGCATGAAAATTCATAGTGTGATATCAATCAGGCTAGCTCCCTTGGAGAGTTGATTATGCGCTCTTCATTGATCATATGGGATGAGGCCCCTATGATGCACAAGCATTGTTTAGAAACTGTTCAAGCTTCTTTTAAGGCAATAATTGGAGCACTCGACCCGGCAAATCATCATAAACCGTTCGGAGGCAAGATTGTTGTGTTTGGTGGAGACTTTCGACAAATCCTTCCGGTAGTTCCAAAAAGGAATCGTCAGGAGATTGTTAATGTTGCTATTAATTCTTCTACCATTTGGGGAGACTGTATTGTGCTTAGACTTACAAAGAACATGCGTCTTTAGAACATTGGCGATTCGAATGAACGTGACGAGCTAGCCGCTTTTGCTGATTGGATAGCGACCATCGGAGATGGCACATTGGGGGGTACAAATGATGGATGTGCTCCGATAGACATACCAGATGATCTATTACTAGAGCCATCCGATGATCCAATTGCAAAAATTGTTGAAAGCACGTATCCGATGTTCAAGAATACAACCGATGATCCAAGTTACTTGAAAGATAGGGCTATACTCGCGCCAACACTCGAGATCGTTGAATCTATAAATGCATACATGTCGTCGTTGAATTTGACTGAAGGGCGCACGTATTTAAGCTCAAACAGTACGTGTAAATCTGACTCCAATATCGACTTTCTGGCACAACTCCATACTCCTGAGTTCCTGAATACTTTAAAGTGTTCTAGAACACCGAATCATGAGTTGCATTTAAAGGTCGGAACTCCAGTTATGTTGTTGCGGAACATGGATCTCTCAATTGGACTCTGCAATGGTACACGATTGGTTATGACCAAACTCTCCAATCATGTTCTCAAGTGTAGAATTCTTACTGGCGATCATGCAGGTGATAAAGTTTTGATACCTCGAATAACCATAACTTCTTCGGATGTTAGAGTACCATTCAAATTCCAACGAAGACAGTTCCCCATTATGGTTTCGTATGCAATGACTATAAACAAGAGTCAAGGTCAATCCTTATCTCATGTTGGCTTATTCTTGAAGAAACCAGTTTTTAGTCATGGCCAGTTATATGTCGCTGTCTCCCGTGTTACTAATAGAAAGGGTCTGAAAATTTTAATTTATAGAGAAGAAGGTTTGAAAGCAAATCAAACCAATAATGTTGTGTATAGAGAAGTGTTTAATAATATATGATTTTATTTTTTTGTACTTTGTATTTCTATCTCTTTTTTTTTTATTAAAATCAAATTATTAATTTATAAACAAAAATATTAAATAAAGTTTAGAAAAAAAGGTTTGAGGAAATAACCCCACCGTAATGCGCACCGGTACTACACTATATTTCCAAAAACGTATATAGCCCGTGCATCGCACGGGTTACGTACTAGTTATTTAGCATAAAAAATACATTTACTAATACACATTATACAAAAATTACCAATAATAATACACAAAAAAAAAACCAAAAAAAAAAAATATAATAAAGTTGTAGCGATAAAGCTACAGTGTTGCGCCACATATGGCACAACACTGTTCCCTACTTTCATCTGGCGCAGAAGTGTGGCACAGCAGTGGAGGAAAAATAATCGCTACTCCAGCGCAAAATCTCACATCCAGCGCAGCGCTGGAGTTACTCTTAAAGGCTGTTAAAAGTCTTGTAAGATATGTGTTTGAGGACCCTATAAGTGTACTTAGGTTAATCTTGGAAGCAATATAGAAAATCGTCCAGTATCTAAAATGTGTGGATGGAGAATCCACAAACATAATTACAGCAAAACAAACAAGAACATATTCACAAGAAAGGTAATTTGTTAAAGAAAAACATTAATACTGTCATAATGACAAAAATGAGATAAAGTTTAGCTAGAGCACTTAAAAGCAACACAACGTCGTTTGTTACTTTTGCCAATTGGCACTATTTAAACAAAATTAAATGAAAAAACAAGGGAAAAGAGAATATCACAACTGCTCATCAACAAGTGGAAAATCTGTAGGAAGCTGTAGTTTTCTTGGGAGGTATCTGCAACATCAATGGTGGAAACACAAGATATGTTAGACTAACTTAAGAAGCAACACAAAAGATTAAGTGACGAATAAAGATCAGCTTCTAATGTGTTACTTACAATCGCAGTTGATTATCCTAGTATAACCTTTAACAAGTAACATAATCCATGCTATAACTTGAATTGCTATTTAAGCTGATGAAGCATTAAACCCAAAATGTTTAATGCCTGATGTACACATATGCAACAAATCTTACAGGTTATCTTATTGCTTGAAGAAGTACCATAGCAAAGCTAGTTGATGCCAGGTTGTGAGTAATAAAATAGCAAACTTACTCAGATCATATCGCTCGCATTTTTGGCTTTTCATCATTTCGGCCCGTCTGCGACTGGAGAATTGGTGTTCATCATCTGCATCCAGAACCCTTAATTATTTCCATTATCGAAGCCAGTCACTTATTTGGAGTAGCATACCAAAATAATAATAAAAAAAATGTAATCTTTGCAACAATAGAAGTCTGAAAGCTTGTAGCAGGTTAAGGAATTCATAGAAGATACTTACAAATCATAATCGAAGCTCAGTCTTGAAAAGCAATATAACGAAATAGACAATAAAAAATGCATATTTCTGTGGACTCCAGATGAAAGAACAAAGGATATATTAGCTGGAAGTATTGGCCAGCAAATTTCTCTCAGCCACGCTCCTACATGGAATGAAGCTTTGTATGCATATGTAGACAACAACAAATCTGAAATTTGTAACCAAAAAATGAAGGGAAAAATTTATTAAAAAGGGTTAAAGAGAGAAAAATACACGCACTTGAGTATATCTAAAAGTAGAATTAGGCGCAGAGAAAAGAGGAAGAGGAGAGAGAGTTCAAGGTATTACCGGACAACATCGCGCTGTGCGTCAACTGCGGGGTCGCAAAATCACGCCTCCGCTGCCCCCCGGATCCTGTGCCAGAAATGCTTCAATTCGGTGAAGAGTCGCGCTGCCGCCGTGGATAGATCCTTCAGATCCAGTCCGCCCGCGAGGTTTTCGATGGAGGGGAGGTTGGATTTTCCCCCGGTGAGCGGAGATCCGGAGAAGGAGGCGTCGGTTGAGTCTGCGGCCTAGGGCTTCGAAGAGGCGGTCTGCACCTACACTTACGAAGGGCGTGGTGGAAGAGAGAGTTCATCACCGCGTTTAACTCTCATTAAGAGGATATGAGAATTGAGGAGAGAAAATGAAGGACAACATTTGTTTTGTGTCTGAAATCGTGGTGGGATGTGATGCTTGCGTGTTTGACGAAAGCTTGTACGTGAAAAAAATACAGAAACGTGACAGCCGAAAAACCAGGTCAAAGTAGAAAGCAAAAAGGCGTCTCTGCAAAAGTTGAGAGTAAGTTACGGAAAAAACACAAAGAAATTTATTGGAACACAACAAAAACAAGGGTAAATAAGGCATAGAAAATGGCCCAACAGAAAACGTCCATAAGGAACGAAAAACAAAGGTAGAACACCAATGGCATAAAAGTAATAAAGTGTGCGAATTGTGGACACGTGTCGACCAGCGAAAGTGTCGAAAATGGACACATGTCAACACCATAAACCATAAACGATCCCACTCCTTCATATATAGATAAGAGAGATAGATAAGAGGGAGATATTAATTTGTGGACATTAAATAGATATAGACTTTCTAGGTATTACTTTGTAGGTATGACGAGCCAGAAACTAATTAGGTCACTAGGCATATACATTATTCTCTTGTATATAGGCTCATTTACAGCGACATCATCAAGATGAACGGACAACCATGGTAACAATCAAGAATTGATGTATGCTTTAGAAACGAATCATATCTTTTCTGTCAAGTTTTGGAAAAAGAATCACGTCTTTTCTGAGATAATTTGAGATAGTATTCTCATGACGGAGGTATGTGGCTAATATAAATTATGGACCGGAGGAGTTTAAAATTGGTGAAAATTGCAAGATTTTTGATTTACTCGTGGAGTAATTGTAACACCCCGCTCATCAGAGTAAATTTTTCGCAACTTTTACTTTGAAAATACTTTAACTCTTTCGAAATATTTTGCGACTAACTCGGGATGCTACTCAAACTCATCATCTTGAAAATCCGTTTACCTTTAAACTTTTGTCTAATACTCCTTTAGACATAATTAAAACAGATTTCCTTTAAACTTGCATTTAACTGTACCATATTCATACTTCTCGAAATGGTAAGAACTTGAAATCTAAAATTTATGCAAGTTCAATACTTAATGTGCATAGCGAAAATACTTAAAACGTGGTTTATTATACAGACATATCAAATACTTTATAAATGTCCACTTGAAATAAGTGCACGACCACCACCACCACTGTTCAGCTCACACCTCCGTCCCGACCCTGTTACCTGAAAAACACAATGGGGGTGAGTACTGATCCTCTTGTACCCCGAAAAACACCCATACTAAAGTAAACAGCAATAATAATACAATATCATGATCTTTGGTATATATCTGGACTGGAAATCTGTTCCAGTAACTTAAACTGAATCTGGCCGATATCTAATCGGATACTTGTGCACAATCTGATGGATATTTCTAAGGCAACTAATGGCCTCCATCAGAACTTAGGATGTACTGATAAGGCAACTAGGAGCCTTCATCCCAAGCGTATAAACTTAAACTGTATACATACCTCGAACATGATATCAATATTATACTCAATGTAATACCCAGTCTGGGTCCCCACCTTTCTTCTTTTGAAAACTTTTGAAAAATGTAAGTGTTGCTCTTGGTAGCTATATCTGCAAGCTACATAAAAATATAAATAAATATACTAAGTACAATGCTCGTATACTCAATAAGATTTAACTCTTACTTATCTGAATCTTAAAGATATTCAATAAACTTGCTTTTTCTCAAGTTTATACTTAACTTCTCTTTTTACTTTTACTTAAGGTCAATTACTTAACCTTATATAAATCATGTCTTCATAAACATCAATATGGTATTATACTTAGCATATCCTAACTCAAATGTGAAAATAACTATATTTCACATTATACTTGATTGAGTATTTAAACTTAAAACATGCTTACTTTTACCAACATCATCAACATGATTTATAACTTATCTTAATTTAACTTGATCAAATACTTAATTCATCACACATCATATCTCCCAATTTTTAGATATTAGCTTATACTAAATTTCACTTAATTAACTTGAAAGTGAAAATAATCTCAAGCCGTAATCATCTTTTACTCATAACATTTAATCATGATGTTAATATGTCATACTTAATACAATCTTTATAAAATTGTATACTCAACATATTATACCAAAACTTCATCAAATTACTCATCACTTATATGAGAATTACTCATGATCATGTCATTTTAACAACTTAAACATTTCCTGAATATTCTTGCATATGTATACTTATCTTTACATATATGCCTTCATATATTCATAACTTATTCATTTCTCATCTTTAAATTATGAAACTTAACAGTCATAATCTCAACTTATAATTAGACATGTCATAAAAATTTCATAATTTTATTATGCATGTATCTCGACTTATTCAAGTTTAAAGTTGCTGCTGGAAACAAGTACATAAAATTCAGTTTGCATGATAAACTTTAAAAATTCATATCTTGAGTTATACTAAACTAAATGACTTAATTCTTGATCCTATGTACTCCTCTTTTACACAAGAAATAACCATAGGAAGCATAGATTTCCAGATTTTTCATAGCTGTGTAAAAATCTCATCATAACTGAACACATATGACATATATATGAGCTGGAAATAACTTATTTTCTAGCATGCTTATATTCATATAAAACTTTAATATCTAAGTCATATAAAAACATTATTAAACACTTAATATCATCTACTAAACATGTAAACTCATTATCAAAACATGAACTTAAGCATGTAACTTTAAGATAAGTAATTACCTCCTTCTTGCTAGAATCGTAACTTAATTCTGCACTTCTAAATTCTTCACTTCTCCAAAGTTTCTACTACTCATTCTCTCTTACACTCTTATATAAATTTTGGTACTTAACTTTGGTGTGAGAACTCTGATTTTTAGGCCTCTATTTATAGGCACAAATTGGCAAAACATCATAATGGAGTGAAGAAATGAACAAAATAAACAATTTAAACTTATAAACTTAATTAATTATAAACTATTTTATGATTAACTTGTATTCTTATCCAAACATACTTAATCATCAAAAATGGCCTTTAGTTATAGCCATGAGTGAGCTTTACTTATTCCACCAAGTTTAATAAAATTCTCATCAATTGTTGAAAAAAATGTTAACTTAAAGACTTAGCAAAACTTTGTTATGATTTTCTCATCTCTTTCTCACCAATTGATGACCAAAATTTCGTTGTGATGTAATTGATTCCATATATTATTGAAAAAATGTCACCATTCATCATATAGAAATCTTTGGAACAAAATAATAAAAATAATAAAAATTATTTTTTTTATTACTTATGCATTTTCTTTCAAAATGGTTGATTTTTAAAACTCTTTTACTGAAAAGTAATGCTCATATATGGTATTGGATCATGCTAATAAACCGAGAATAATACAATTTACGGAACTCAATTCGGACTTAAAACAACCGTTTACCGTAAAACTGAAAATTCTAAAATTTAAATCCTTTACTCACGGTTTTTCTTCAATTTAATGAACATATTGCTTCTTAGGATCTAATATAATTATCTTAAAATATTCTACATTTACGGAACCACATTCGGACTTAAACCGAACTATTACCGTAAAACCAAAAATTCTAAAAATTTCGATTTCTATTAAAATAATTTAAATAGACTATAATGTCTAAATAAATTTTCTCACTTCTTTGAACATTTATCACTTAAATGTTCATGGATACATAACCTTACTTCAAGACTTAACTTGTATCAACTTATGCTAAAACTCAATATTATGATCTTATCTTGATGACTTAAACACTTAAAAAAATTCTAAGTATTAAGGCTCGGCTATTTCTTAATTAAGTTCAACTCATGACCGAACATACTTGGTTTCAGTTCACTACTTATCTTAAACGATTAATCAAAATATACTCAATTTCGATTATTCGTCATCTTATATTAATTAATCCCATCTTATAAATCCATTTATAAAAATAAACAGACCGGAATTAATTAATTACTGAACTGGCTCGATTACTGAATAATATTGAACCGAGAATACTTTCGACTTAAAGTCGAATTTTTAACTGAATAACTTAATAACTGGCTCGAAACTAGAAACGAGCATTAATAAAAGTAATTAGTTCATACTTAGAATAATTACTTTTATTAATTACTGAATGGGATATTACAGTAATTATTTGATTTATTTGTGAAACTATTTGATTTAATCGTGGAGTAACTATTTGATTTTCGTAGAAATATTTGATTTATTCGTGGAGATATTATTGGATTTATTCGTGTAGATATTTGATTTATTCGTGGAGATAGTTTAGCCAAGAGTGGACCTGGTTTGATGGGCGGTCCCGCAAAGCCGGTCAATAGGAGCCTACGGCTATGCTTGTCTAAAAATTATTTGATTGATTTGTGAAAATATTGGATTTATTCGTGGAGATATTATTTTATTTATTCGTGTAGATATTCGATTTATACGTGGAGATATTGGATTTATTCGTAGAGATATTATTTGGTTTATTCGTGGAGATATTAGATTTATCCGTGGAGATATTGAATTTTATTTATTCGTGGAGATATTATTTAATTTATTCGTGGAGATATTATTTGAAATGCTTCAATTTTTTTTTTTTATTTATTAATAACTATTTGACAAATATGTGTCTGAACAAGTTTTATGTAATAATTGAAGATTACTTACAAATATACAAAAAAAAATAAAAATGTTTAAATAAGTCAATGTACAATTAATTATGTGTTTAATGTTTCGCCTAATAATCGCATATTTGTGAAAAAATAAAAATAAGGATTATGTGAATCACAATTCCAACTTATTTTTAATAAAAGAAATAAATATAATAATTCTACAATTGAAAACACTTGCATAATTACTCCCATTTTCTGAAGCAAACCCGTCATTCGAACAATCCT